ATAAATAAATAAACACTGTTTTGGCTCCTACATTTTTTTTTTCTTCGAGTTTTTAAAACGTTCAATTTGATCATTCTATTTTAACTTTTCTCTGTCATTGTACTTCCAAAACGTTAATTTTGGTTTCTATACTTTTAAAAAGTAATCAATTTAATCCTTCTTCGCAAAATTTTAACACAAACGTTGTACACAATGTAAACTCTTAAATACAATTGAAAAAGATGGATCCAAATTTAGTGGAAGCTAAAATTATAATTGAAAAAGATGGAATAAAAATAAAAGAGAGAACCTCCAACGGCTAGTTGCCTAACAGAAAATAACTAACATTAAAAAAGGCTAACGGCTAGTCCTTAATACAAGGGAAGAATAAATGGTTTACATTACATCAAATTCCCTCCCCTTAAAAAGGAACTCGTCCTCGTCCTCGAGTTATGTGGCTAATTGAAATGAATCCGGGGCTTGATATTCATATATGTGTGAAATATTAAAAACTAGATGTATCCGGATAGTGTTGGGAAGATTTACTCGAAAGGCATTGTCACCATATTTCTTCAGTATTTCGAATGGTCCAATCTTCTTGTCCTGAAGTTTATTATAGGTTCCTTTAGGGAACCGTGATTTCTTTAGATGGACCATAACAAGATCACCGACTTCAAATGTTTTATACCGTCGATGGATGTCTGCGTCTGCTTTGTAATGAGCTGCTGCCTTTGTAAGGTTGGAGATTACTTCTTTATGCAACTCTACAATTTTGTCCGCCATTTGTTCTGCCTCTGTACTAAGATCAACAGAAGCGAGTAGGTTAGCTAGGTCCACTGTTAGTCTAGGAATCTTAGTGTAAACGATTTCAAAGGGACACTTCCCTGTTGATCTGTTTCGCATGTGATTATACGCGAACTCAGCTTGAGCAAGCGTAAGATCCCATTGTTTAGGTTTATTGGTGCCTAAACACCGATTTAAGTTGCCTAGCGTCCTGTTGGCGACTTCCGTTTGTCCGTCTATCTGCGGGTGACTAGTGGTACTGAATTTTAAACCTGTATTGAACTTTTTCCATAAAGTTTTCCAAAAGTAGCTTAGAAATTTCACATCTCTATCTGAAACAATTGTCTTTGGTATTCCGTGCAAGTGAACAATATCCCTAAAAAATAAGTTGGCTATATATGTAGCATTAGATGTCTTTTTGCAAGGTAAGAAATGAGACATCTTGCTGAAACGATCTACTACCACCATTACGGAATCATGTTCGCGTTGTGTTTTATGAAGACCAAGGACAAAGTCCATGGAAAGATCTCCCAAATAGATTCTGGGATAGGCAGAGGATTATAAAGGCCTGTGTTTTGACTTTGACCCTTGGCCTTTTGGGAAATAAAGCATCGGTTGACAAGGTTATGGACATCACGCCTGATTTGTGGCCAGAAGAATCTCTGGGCCACTAATTCCAATGTTTTATCTTTACCCAATGTCCGGCTAGGCCTCCGGCATGTAGGTCTTTAATTAAAGTCTCTCTCAAAGATGTGTCGGGAATACACAAACGGTCTCCCTTAAATAAGAAACCATCCATAATATGGAAATCATCGCACTGGACATGTGGTTGGCATTTGAGCCATGTAGTATGAAAGTCACAGTCGTTTTCATGCGGTAGAGAGGTGATCGAATGCCACAACTTGGCCTGATAGTAATGTTAGTAGACTTGCTTTCCTACTGAGGGCATCGACAACTTTATTAGTAATGTCTGCTTTATGTTTGATGATAAATCAAACTTTGAATAAAGGAAATCCACCGAGCATGCATACGATTAATAGTTTTCCGAGTTTGGAGGTATTTTATAGAAAAATGGTCGGTGAAAAGAATGAATTCTTTGCCTATAAGATAGTGCTCCCACTGTTTTAGGGCTCATATTAGGGCATATAGCTCTTGCTCATACGTACACCATTTTTGTCTAGGTAGTGTTAATTTTTCGCTGAAGTATTCAATGGGGTGGTTCTTTTGGGATAGGACGACGCCTATACCTATGTCGGATGCATCTACTGCTACCTCGAAGGGTTGGGTAAAATCTAGGAACCTTAGGACTGGGGTTGTCCATAGTTTTTCTTTTAGAATATTAAAGCTCCTAGTTTGTTCGCCCATCCCATTTAAATTGTCCCTTCTTTAAACATTCAGTGATAGGGGCCGCTAGTGTGCTAAAGTGCTTAATGAATTTCCTGTAGAAAGATGCTAGACATAAAAAACATTGAACATCTTTAACACTAGTGGGTATTGGCCATTGTTTAATAGCTGAAATTTTGTTAGGGTCAACAGCAATACCGAATTGGGAAATCAAGAAGCCTAAAAAAGAAATTTGTGTTACTAAGAAACAACATTTCTTAATATTAATATAAAGTTGATGTTGTTCCAAAGTTTGAAAAAGTGTATGCAAGTGTGAAAGATGTTCCTCTCTTGATTTACTCTAAACCAATATATCGTCAAAATAAACTACAACAAAATGATTAAGGAAAGGAAGTAGAACCTGGTTCATTAATCGCATAAAGGTGCTTGGAGCATTTGATAAGCCGAACGACATGACTAACCACTCAAAAAGACCCTCATTTGTTTTGAAGGCTGTTTTCCATTCATCACCGGGTTGTAGTCGAATTTGGTGGTAACCGCTTTTGAGGTCTATCTTAGAGAAAAGTTGGGCCCCGCCCAATTGATCTAAAAGGTCAGAAAGGTGAGGGATGGGAAATCAGTATTTGATGGTTATTTTGTTGATAGCCCGACTATCCACACACATACGCCACGAGCCATCTTTCTTGGGTGCTAATAAGACAGGGACTGCACAAGGGTTTAAACTAGGACGTATACGGCCTTTATCGAGTAGTTCTTGTATTTGAGAGTGGAGTATTTGATATTCCTTCGGGCTCATTCTGTAGATTGGGAGATGGGGTAGAGTGGCTCCGGGTATGAAGTCAATTCTATGTTGGATATTTCGCAAGGGTGGTAAGTCAGTGGGATCCATTGCTAGGATAGGGAAGTCGTCTAGTAGTTGTTGAATATCCGGATGATAAGTAGGATTTGGTTGGGTTGGACTGTTTCCTTTGACCACCAAGGCTAAAAATAAGGAGTCATCTTTTTGAAGAAATTGTTTGCCACTGATTAGGGAGAAAATTGATTGGAACTAATGTCTTTATCTGTTTTGTTTTTAGGGTCGGTAGAAGATGGCACAAGTATAATACGTTTTCCCATCCAAGAAAATTCATATGTATTGTCTCTGCCTTTATGGATGGTTTGTAAGTCAAAGTGCCAAGGACGACCAAGTAAAATGTGGCAGGCATCCATGTCTAAAACATCATAAACTATCTCATCCCTATATTGGTTTCCTATAGACAAAGGAACGGTACACACAAAGGAAACAGTGGCTTCACCACCTTTTCTAATCCAGGAGACTTTGAACGGATGGGGGTGAGGGTTGACTTTTAGTTGTAAGGCCGAGACAAGTTTTTGAGAGACCATGTTTTCACTACTACCGCTATCAATTATAACACTACATACCTTGCCGTTAATGGTGCAGTGGGTGCGGAAAAGGGAACTGCATTGAGGATGCAATTCGACCTTTGGTGTTAGGAGAACTTTCTGAAGAACGCAGCTAAGTGAGTCGCCATCATCAGCTTCGACATATGTGGGTTCCTCTTGGTCTGGGAGTTCAAGCCCATCGTCAAAATTGCCCTCGTCATCAACTAAAGCCAAAGCACGTCTCTGGGGACACTCATTGGATAAATGTCCAACCTGTCCACACCTGAAACATTTACCCAATGTTGGGCGAACATCAGGATTATTCCCACGTCTAGAAGAAGAATCAGTAGTTTTAAAAGGAAGGGACTTAGCTGAGTCGTCTGGAGTTTTATTTGTAGTTGAACTGGAAACGCCCCCAATTTGAAGTGGCTTATTTGTATCACGTACACCCGCCTTTGATGTAGAGGCTTTGTCCCAGGTGGTGCGGCGAACAGGAGTTCTGAAACGTTTCTTCTCAATCTTTTCTTCAATCTTGGTCACCATAACTATAACATCGGTTAAAAGGTTGAGAGGTTGTATGTCTAGTTGATCTTGGATGTCTTCGCGAAGCCCATCAACAAACCGAGCAATTTTATAATCCTCGGTTTCGGCCAAATTAGTGCGAGCACCCAAACGATGGAAGGCTTCAGTATAGTCAGCTACTGTCCGCACACCTTGTCGGCACCGCTGGTACTGCTGGTATAAAAGTTGCTCAAAATTAGGCGGTAAGAAACGTTCACGCATGAGGCGTAGCATTCTTGGCCAACTACGGATGGGCCGTTTGCCAAGTCGTCGACGGTTGATCTCGAGCTTGTCCCACCACGCAGAGGCACCAGATTGGAGTTTGAATGCAACCAACTTCACCTTTTTGTCATCCGGGGTATTGGTGTAATCGAAGAAAGTCTCGACGTTTTTAACCCAGTCAAGAAAGGTTTCCACATCTACTTCTCCGTTGAATGTTGGAAGATCGATCTTCATCCTGAAATCGGTATGAACACCACCTCTGTCAGCATTGTGTTCTCCGCTAGCAAACCGAGGGTGTTGCTGAAAAAACTCATCGTCTTCTTCAGATGAATCTGAATCTTGAACTCTGATTTGCAGTTCTTGGTTTCGTCGGTTTCCACCTTCTTGATTTCTTGGAGCATCGGGTGTTCGAGGTTGGTTTCTTGGTACGTTTTTTGGTTGATTTGTGTCCCCCGTATGCTGCAAGTCAGTTCGTAGACGTTCTTGTTCGTCCGAAATGAGCTCCAGTTGCCTGCCTAGATTTTCTAACAGGGCGTGGATATCCTAGACATTCGATCGAACTTATCCCAATGAATCTTCCATCAACAACAATCGGTTGGTGGTTGATCTTGGGGATAACACTTGCGGAGTCGTCGGATCCACAGCGGCTCCTTTGCTAGGATTTATTGTGTTTTTCCCAACCATCAGATCCTAGGGTTCCATTTAGGGCTCTAATACCAAATTTAATGTAATACCAATGAGAGAGTTTTATTAAAATTCTGAATGAATCTTACAAGAAGTTGGAAGGTTTTTAAAGAGAGAACCTCCAACGGCTAGTTGCCTAACAGAAAATAACTAACATTAAAAAAGGCTAACGGCTAGTACTTAATACAAGGAAAGAATAAATGGTTTACATTGCATCATATATACTATATAACATCATTGTCTAATCCCCTAATATATCATCCTCAAAGCATGTGTTATTGAACAACTGCATCTGGAGGTGCCACTTCTGGTATCTGAACAAATTTCGATAAACAAAATCTGAGTTCTAACAACAGGAATGATATTCACAAAAGGTGCAAAACTTGGTTCCCTCGACGTCAAAATATATAAGAAAGTTCAACAATGAGAAGCTTGAGCCTATGTAATATGGATTTGAAATGTAGGTACGTGCAGAAATGAGTTACACAAACTGAGATAATGTTGGTTGGCCTGTAATTTGCA